CTGATTGGATGCAGTGTGAATCCAGCAATACATCGTGAGCTTCATGCGTGATTCGGAACGTACCCAAAATCAATAAAGGAACTAAAGAACTAAATGCAGGAAACCTGAGGCCGACGTTTCTCCCTACAGGCAAAATAACCTCTTTGACTGACGTGTTCACGCACTGCGCAGTGCGCTGTTTGTCTCGAATATCCCCGTCTACAATATCTGTCCGTAAAAATCCGTGAATGATAAGCAATGAACACTCACCGAAATAAAATATAGTTTCTACGCCGTTCTGCGACAAGACGATTTTGCGGGTTTTGCGCTATTTTACGTACACTGTGGCACAAGAAGGTTACGAATCGTTATGAAAACGGCATAAAACATGTGCGCGCGCGTTTGCACTTTACACGATGAAGATACCAGCATTACCGGCCTCGCGCAGGCTGTTTGTTTACCAACGTCTTATAGTGGTCACACCAGTGTTGCCAGCGGGGACGCGTTTTCTCGCGCGCGCGACTTCACAACGTATCACATTCACAAGAATACGGATACCTTTAGAACCCGTATTCTTGTTCCAGATAAACTACTAGATTTTATAGAAAGATACATAATTATTAGGCTACATAATTATTAGGATACATAATTATTCTTGTGAACTTGACATGTTGTTGAAGTCGCGCGCGCGAGAAAACGCGTCCCCACTGGCAACACTGGGTCACACTGCGTCCACACACACACGCGCACTGTTACACGGCACGTTTAATCGGGTTTAAATATCCGTAGTTATGAAATTGTCCAATCATAGCTGTTCCTCGGAAGAATGGAACGACTATGATTGGCCAGTTTCATAAAAGTACGGATGTGATTAAGGGCTACTGTCACCAAGCTCAGTTGATCTAACTAGGCCAGTTAGATCCATCGGTGTTAGGTCCATCGGAATTGACCAATCGCATTTGTCATTTTATTTGAAGAATGGACAGATTGGTCAATTCCGATGGATTAATTGGCCCTGTTAACTGAATTTGGTGACAATGGCCCTAAGGGTGCTGTGTAAATATAATCATACATACAACACACACAATAGGCGATTTTTGGCGTGCTTCTGGTAGTTTCAGTTTCGAACTGTGTTTTAAGATCGATAAACAATCGGCGCATAGTTAGCTTGAACTGAAAATTATATAAATTCTCAAGAAATGTTATTAAGCACGAAGAACCGCCTCGACCGAATATAGCATTTTTCATTTACATGGTTTAATCTCATCTATTACCAATTAATATTGATAATTTTTTATGTTGAATGTTTGAATGGTTGAATTTAACGTTTATTTGTATAGATCATGGACGACGAGGAAGAAATACTAACACATTAATTGTCCTAATTCTTGGTATGTTGGTATTAAAAATAAGGATATTCTACAACATACGTCAAGATCAAGGTCATCGGAACTGGGTCCCTTAAAGTAAACATTTACCATAAATTTTATTAAATACAAATTTAAATAATGTGTGTGTGTGTGTGTGTGTGTGTGTGTGTGTGTGTGTGTGTGTGTGTGTGTGTGTGTGTGTGTGTGTGTGTGTGTGTGTGTGTGTGTGTGTGTGTGTGTGTGTGTGTGTGTGTGTGTATATTATTTTAACATGCTAAGTGCTGAATCTTTATTATATAAAAATATGAACATTTATTATTTAAAAATAACTGAATATTTATTATAAAGTTTTCAAATATATATATATACTTGGAATGTTTTAAAAGAATTATATTACTTATTTTTAATATGCTATTTATTACAAGGTAAGATATAAAAATTATAACGAAATATAAAAATTACACATGAGAATTACAAATAAAAATAAAACAATGAATCAACTATAAGCAGACTCATAAGTCTCGTAAGATTTGTAAGAACTATGATTAAAATGCCTATAAGTTTTATGTAAAGACTTTACAAACAGCTTCTAAGATTCAGAAAAAAATCATAGATATTTAGGAATGATTGTACATCTTACAATATGCAAAGAATTACAACTCTAATCATAAGTTAAGTCTTACGAGAACAAGTTATGAGCCTTACAATTCTGCTTAAAATTGATCCATAAGGAAATTTGTGTAAAACAATAGAGTTGGTCGCGTCACATGCTCCAACATGCTTCTATCACAGTTCCTATTCATTTCAACAAGAGCGTTGGAATGAATAGGAGCTATGGTGGGAACATGTTGGAACATGCGATGCGAATAAACCTAGTTATGCTAGTGGTTTCCACAAAATGTTTGTAATTGCCTGCTTTCGTTTAGACTTTTCCGGTTCGAGTATTCTTTCTAATTCTGCTGCAACTAACAGTCCAAAACTTTTATCAGCTATTAAATCATATAAGTTCCAAGCCATTTGTTGAAATGACTGATTATTAGTTATGCGTTTTTGTAGATTATCACTTAGAGCTACAAATGATTGTTCTAAGTAGGAGTTACTTTAATTTATTTATTTTGTTTTAGCGACCAGTATTAATTGAACGATTTATATTAATTGGTATTATTAGTAGTGCAGGAGAGCACGGTGTAGAATTTCTTGATACTGAATCTCTTGGTACTGATGCCCGTATTCATAGTTAGCCTTATACTTGAGGCTTCCTTAAATTTATCTTTAGATGCTCAGTAGCCAATGAAATAATTTGTAGAGTATCTGAAGATAAAACGGGCATATATCTCTTGGTTCGGAATTTCTTGGTTCGGAATCTCTTGGTATTGAATCTGTCGATACTAAATCTCTTGATATTGAATCTCTTGGTACTGAATCTCTTGGTACTATACCTCTCGGTACTGAAGCTTTTGGTACTGAATCTCTTGCTACTGAATCTCTTGATACTGAATCTCTTGATACTGAATGTCTCGATACTGAATCTCTTGGTATTGAATGTAGCGGTACTGAATCTCTTGGTACTGAATGTCTCGATATTGAATCTCTTATTTCATTTGTGCAAGAAAAATTATATGTTTCACCTTGAAGTGATGATAAAAACGGTCTGTTAGGTTGAATTACATTTTCAGTTTGTGTATTATTTTTCTGAATATTTGAGTAAAAAGAAATAAAGTTATTGATCGAGGTTTTCTGTGATTATGTTAGTATATTATGAGATTAGAGATGTGATAAATTTTCATTATAGTGTTCGACACCAATTTTGTCTTTGGCTCGTAAAGTTTTAGATAATATAGACGAAAATTGAAAATTATAAATTCTTTTAAACACAATGTCGTTCAAATGCGATCAAAATCATCGTTCTATTATTCCATGTTATCCTATTTTTCTCGAAAATGTGATGTGATAAAATTTTTCTAAGCTCGAATTCAATTTTAGCAACCGAAAATCTTCGAGAAATAACACTCTACAAGCCAAAGACAAAAACGTTAAATTTTGTTGAATAGTGTTATTAAAAGTGTTTAGTACCTTGTAATGATTGGATAAAGTTAAACTAGATAAATTTGAAAAAGAGTTATTTGTCTCAATGTTTGAAAGTGCTTGACACGATGTTGAAATATTACTCGTGCTTATATTAATGTCATGAGAAGATATATTCGATATATCCATCAATTGTTTTTTTACAGCTGGACTAGGTACATTTGTATACGATCTAGAAAATGATAATAATTACTATTGTTTATTATTTATTACATTATACATAACTATTTATTAACTATTAATTAATTAACTATTATTAACTATTTATTAGTTATTAATTAATTATTATATTATATATCACTTCTTAATAACATTTATATATTACTTATCATATATTTGATATCAATTAAACTTATTTTCTCTGTTTTATATGGTGTTCCAAAAATAACATGTCATTATACAATGAAAATCCTGATCTGTGAGAGGCTCCACTACCACCCCGTGTTTCTGTCTTACGTAATCGTTTCTCCCTTGAAAATCGATCGCATAAACGTGTCCATCGATTTTGACAAACTTCAACTACATGAACAAACATATATTACATATAAACATATTAAAAAAGAAACAAAAAAAATAAGGTTCCCCAGAAAGTAAATCACAAAGTACTGTTGCCAAACAGAGTCATTAGATGTTTGAATACAATTCTTCATTAAATTAATTAGATGTTTCTGATTAGATGATCCTTCGATTTTGGGTCATCTTCAATAAATATAAAAAAAGAAATTTTGACCGACATTATCATATGGAAATTTTAGTAGATATTACAATCATACGAAATATATTAAATGTCAAATACATTAAAATAAAGTAAGTCATATTGAGATATATAAAATGTGAGTAACATTGATGTATTGATTTTCTTGAAAAATGGACTGATAGTGAAATCTCGCCAATTATCATTTTGATGTGAACTGTTCAACAAGAACGTTGAACAGTTTAGACCAAAATGAGATTGCGGATTCGATTTTAATAGTTTATTTGATTTTTATAAATGATATGGACTCAATTTGACTAATAATGACGAAATTCGACTACCAGTCCATTTTCCAAGAAATATATCAATGCTAATTCATATTTTACGTATCTCAATATGATTTGCTTTATTTTAATGTACTTCACTGTGACATTCATTAAGGTTGCGTTCCGTTTCAGGCATATGCGCGCATTTTCTATAGTAAGTGTCACGTATACTATAGAGGAATGCGGGCATATGCGTGAAACGGAATGCAGCCTAAAATGTGATAATTTTGATTTCGTTTTTGTATTCATACAAGCACCTGGTGTTAGTTTTGATTGGCAACTGTACTTTGTCATAAACACATTTACATTATCATATATAAAAAGTTTCAAAATCAGAATCGAAATCTTACTTGACAGATTCAATATCTCAAAAATTTCCTTCCATGAGTTTTGTTTCATTTCTGTGTCTTTAAATTCTTTCAGAGACGAATTATATAAGTGCGGATAACTTCTCACTGCATCAATCAGCAATTCATCACTTTCTTTTTGAACATTTTCCACTTCAGTTTCATATTCTTCTCACACACACACACACACACACACACACACACACACACACACACACACACACACACACACACACACACACACACACACACAATATTTTCAGTATATTCATTTTCATCATTATACAGAGTGTAAAAAGTTCCGGGACACCTGAATATCATGAAAAATATAAATATTACAAAAAAGTGTTTCAGACAAAAGTTGTAGGATTCAAAAAGATCTATTTACTGATCACATTTGTTTGATCTTGGGTGGCGTCGCCAAGGTCAGGTCAAGGTCACATCAATTTTTTTAAATGCAATACCCCATTTTTTTATTGCATATTCTTATAGCACATCTCGAGAGCTTTCCAAAACACTATAATAAAATATTTTTTCATGAAGTACTTTTCGAGTTATATGGCTTGAAAGTTACAGTATCGCCGACATTAACATTACCCAAGGTGTCCGACCGACGGCTAAAATCTCTTGAATGTTCAGGATCTTGACCTGGATAACATTTATCAAGATCAAGGTCATTGGAGATTGTTGCTCTTATTTTCATTTTTGCACTAAAAATTCATTTCTACGTAAAAATGAAAATAAGAAGTACAATCTCCAATGGCCTTTTTTTCAAATGCCACTTTCAATAACAAAATAAATGATTTTAATCCCACGTGTCACTTTCTATCAAGAGGGTTTCACTTGCACTTTCCACGTATCGTAATTGTCTTTATCGAGAGGTTGAATCTTTATGCTCAGATGACTTATTTTCACGACTGTTAACAACAGTCGCGTTACTAAGGACAACACGACACGACACAATGCCCACGACAAAACAAATTTATGTAAAAAATTTCTGGACTTAAAATGAGATAGATATATATTTGGACGTTGAAAAAAGAGAAAGCGGAGCTGCTGAGTGCAAAACGTGCAAGCACCACGAATAGACCTAATGTCTGATCAGCATCTAATGTAAATCATTATGGCGATTTTATGCTGGATAGTCATTGGTTTATCGGTCTGAATGTCTTACTCCATGCTTATTTTGTACGTGAGGGAGCAAAATTCAACAATTTCCTCAAAAGTAACGATCCGTTACTTTTTCAAATAACGGTAACGGTAACACGTTACTTTTTAAAATTAATAACTAGTAACGGTAACGAGTTATTTTTAACCAAAAGTAACTGTTGTAACGGTGACGCGTTATTTTTTTAAGGTAACGTTTCTAATTCGGCTCACTAGTTAATTCGCATTATTACCTTCCGATAGAAAAGAGAACTGCAGGTGATACATATCCTTATGCATATCAACATGCAACGGTTGCATGAAAGAGTGGTGTAACAACGTAGTGACGATGGCATTGGTAATATTTAGGAAGGTGATGTAGATCATCACTTCGTCTCAATCTTATACTTCGCGTTAGGATCATTAATGAAGTATTTGATGAACGAACTTTGCTAAAGTTGGTAACATTACGCGTACTACGCTATATTGAAAGAGTTTCCGAGATCTATTTATTTAAGTATAGTTTTCGGAAGTAATAATTTTGCCAACGAATCAATGACAATTGCTATATATTTTAAAGTCAAGTAGCAAAATTAATTCAGTGATATGTTTTAGAATACAATTTTCGTCGCTTTCTCTATACTTACGTTGTTCTCCTATACTTTCAACTGTATTATTAAGAAAGATTAACTCAACGGCGGTTTTACAACGTACAGTAGATGATTACTTGTGAAGAAATTGCACTGAAGAGGATCCGAACCAAGGATTGGAAACGTTTGTGAATGATATGAATTATATTAATAGATAACAAAGTATATACATACCTTAACCTTCTGTGTCGGCTCATATTAGCATGTTTCAACATTTATTTCATCTCTTTCTTAATTTTACTAAATATTCTCTTACTAATAATAATGCTAGTAACAGCACT